ACATTCCAGACTGGAAACCCCACAGTAGCACAGGCTGCTTGGTTTGGGGAATGGTGAAAGGTGTAGTGGTAAAAGCAGTGGGGGAGATGTGACAGGGCATGAGGCCAGATAAATCAGCAGGGCTTCGGGTTCCCATGTAAACTCAACAGAGAAGGAAAACCAGGGAACTGGCTTGCACAATTGTAGGGGCTGATTAAGCAGTTTCTGTAAGGCTGTATCTCCAAGACTGATGGAGCTTGAAGTCCACAGGCAGGTGGTCAGGAGGGGAAGACCATGAGCACATGAACATACTGAAACCTCATTAGCACAGGGAGAACCCATAAGGACAGACTGAAACCTGTGTCTATTCTTATTACCTCTGACCTCACTGATGAAGGTAGAAGCTGGGACCCTTAGTCACAGAGCTAGACGTGCACACACCTGCCCCAGGAGTCAGAAAAAACTGAAGCAGAGTCCAGGAAAAGCACAACAATTGCAGGTCCAGGTGCTGCTTCATGCCCATCAGGTGAGTCAGCAGATCAGTAATCCAAATGGTTGCTTCCTTCCAAATCTGGTGAGAATCTGCCTCCTGGCCCACCCTAATGGAAAACATACTAGTCAGGGAGTTCTGGAAAATATGGTTCAGCCAGGCCAAGTTGGCATGTTGCAAAGCCCTCCCAATTCCACAGTTAAAAATGGGTGTGGGGGGTGGTGAGGAGGGCTTCCAGACCAGGTAGAACATTCTGGCCAACTGGAAGACACAGACTGCACATGAAGAGGGGCAGTGACTACCCAGCTCCTACTGATTGTTTTCAGAGCTTCCCAGTTTTCCAAATAATGTTAGAAGCAGCACCTCCTGAAAGTTTCCATGTCCCTCTCTGGAGGCTGGGAGTGGTCTGGACATCCAGGGAGGAATGGGGTAGGGTACCTCAGTGCAGCAGTGGTGCCTGGGTGTCGGAGGCACCTCCTCAAAATTTCTCAAAGTGGAAACCACACTATTATCTGAAATTTCCCATTATTTTAAAATATGGGTTTAAAAAACAAATACTCCATACCCATTAGACTGGCTACTATCAAAAAACAGGTCTGGGCATTGTGACTTACACCTATAATCCCAGCACTTTGGGAGGCCAAGGTAGGAGGATCACTAGAGCCCAGGAGTTCAAGACTAGCCTAGGTAACATAACGAGACACCCATCTCTCCAAAAAATACAAAAATTAGCCGGACATGGTGGTGTGTACCTTTAATCCCAGCTACTCAGGAGGCTGAGGTGGGAGAATCGCTTGAGCCCAGGAGGTGGAAATTGCAGTGAGCCAAGATCGAGCCACTGCACTCCAGCCTGGGCAACAGCGCCAGACCCTGTCTTAAAAAACAAAAAACAAACAAACAAAAAACACAGAACACAGCAAGTGTTGGCAAGGATGTGGGGAAACTGGAACACTTGTGCACTGTTGGAAGGAATGTAAAATGGTCCAACTGCTATGTAAAACAGTATGGCAGTTTCTCAAAAAATTAAACATAATTACTATGTAATCCAGCAATTCCACTTGTGGGCAAATACCCCAAAGAATGCAAAGTAGAGAAGGGCACATTCATGTTCACAGTAGCGCTATTCACAATAGCCAAAAGGTGGAAGCAGCCCAAGGATCCATTGACAGAAGAGTAGATTTTTAAACACGTGATCTACCCATACAATGGAATATTATTTAGCCTTAAAAAGGAAGGAAATTCTGACCCATACTACCACATGGATGAATCTTGAGAACATTATGCTGAGTGAAAATAGCCAGTGACAAAAAGACAAACACTGCATGATTCCACTTGAATGAGGTATCTAGAATAGTCAAATTCACAGAGATAGAAAGTAGAATGGTGGTTATCAAGGGCCGAGGGGAGGGAAATATGGGGAGTTGTTTAACTTTCAGTTTTGCAAGATAAAAAAGTTTCAGAGATTGGTTGCACAACAACGTGAATACAATTAACAGTATTGAATGTATATTTTAAAATGTTTGGCCGGGCACAGTGGCTCACGCCTGTAATCCCAGCACTTTGGGAGGCCGAGGCGGGCGGATCACCTGAGCTCAGGAGTTTGAGACCAGCCTCGCCAACATGGCAAAATCCCATCTCTACTAAAAATACAAAAATTATCTGGGCATGGTGGTGGGTGCCTATAGCCCCAGCTACTCGGGAGGCTGAGGCAGGAGAATCGCTTGAGGAGGCAGAGGTTGCAGTGAGCCGAGATCTTGCCACTGCACTCCAGCCTTGGGGGCAGAGCAAGATGTCTGTCTCAAAAAAAAAAAAAAAAGGCGCTTAGATGGCAGATTTTATGTCACATGCATTTTACCAGAATTAAAAAATAAATACGGCCAGGTGCGGTGGCTCAAGCCTGTAATCCCAGCACACTGGGAGGCCGAGATGGTGGATCACAAGGTCAGGAGATCGAGACCATCCTGGCCAACACAGTGAAACCCCGTCTCTACTAAAAAAAAATACAAAAAAAACTAGCCGGGCACCGGCCTGTAGTTGCCTCAGCTACTTGGGAGGCTGAGGCGGGAGAAATGGCGTGACCCGGGGG